AGAGAGAGAGAGAGAGAGAGAGAGAGGTGAACCTGGGCTTTCATTCTAGGAATGAATCTTCAACTGGAAAACACCTATCAGAGGGTAATGTAGACCAGGCTGGCCTTAATCTCACAGAGATGCCTCTACCTCTGCCTCTGCCCCTGCCCCTGCCTCCTGAGTGTGGGGGCTAAAGGCATGTGCCACCACACACAGCTCCAGAGTCAATTCTTAAGGAAGCCAGTTTGCTGTGCTCTGCCTTGAAGTAGGAAACCAAGGTGGGAACCTAGAAGGGGAGGACGAAGCCCAGCTTCACCTCCCATCTCACTCCAGGTAAAGAGCAGGAGAGAAGAAACATTGGAAGATGGAACCACCTGTCTCCACATAGGGCAAAGAGGGGGTACTGCAGAAACAGGGAAGGTTGGGGGAGTCCAATAAAGGGGAATGGATAAGTCCTGAACACACACTCAGGGGAAATGACTGGCATCAACAGTAGAGGGAGAGTGGCAGCAGAAAGAGCCTGGGACAGGGCTTCACTGGAGACCCACAGGAGAGCAGCAGAGGACTGGGGTCAAGAGAGTCACTGCCAGTTGGTGGCATCCTTGGCTAAACACAGATATGCCCAAACCAGCATTCCAGTCACTCCAAAAAAGGCAGCTTGTCTCTAGGAGGGTAGGCAGGGGACCAACACATTCCTACATGACACACCCACACAACAGGCTGCCATCCTCTGGTGTCTCTATGCTGCTCAACAGCAGGGACGAGAACAGAGCCCAGAGGGTGGAATCCCTTCTAAGAATAACATGTCACTTGTGAGTCTGCTGGTGGCTGCTCTAGTGCTGACACTTGACCTGTCCTCCCACGTTCCAGGGGCTGAGGATCAACCTATTTACAGTGTGGGTTCTTGGGAACCAAGAGATACCATTTTCATTAAAACAGATGGTGGTCAGTGAGATCAAGTGTTGAAAGGTGGGGCCAAAACGCCTTTTCAAAAGTCAGTATATTTGATCTTTTTGGAGTATAGCCAACCATCTACACATCAGCAAGCCATAAAGAATTAGCACATAGGAGAAGCTTGTAGAGGCAGTCCTGGAACTCTCCGTGACCTTGATCCTGGCTTCAAGGCCAGAGGCAAAAGAATTCCTACAGAAATGGGCACGAGTGTACTGAATGGAGAAGACAACATCAAGGCCTGGGGTTGGGTAAATGTGACATAAAGAGCCAGCAAGAAGCCTCAGGATTTAGGCTGGGGAGACGGCTCAGTCAGTAAAGCACTGATCGTGGAGGCATGAGGATCTGAGTTCCGTTGCCAAAACCCTAAATCAAAAAGCTCGGTATGGGCTGGAGAGATGGCTCGACAGTTAAGAGCACTGGTTGCTCTTGCAGAGGACCAAGGTTCAATTCCTAGCACTCACATAGCAAATAACAACTGTCTATAACTCCAGTTCCAGGGAATCTGATGCCCTCTTCAGACTTCTACAGGCCTTGCATAACATGGGTGCACTTACATATATGCAGGCAATACACTCACATACATAAAATAAAAATAACAAATAAAATATTCTTTGAAAGCTGGGCGTGGTGGTATGCATTTGTGATACCAGCATTAAGAAGGTAGAGACAGGCAGGTTCCTGAGGGTCACTGTCTAGTCAGCTTAGGCTACTTGGTGAGCTTCAGGCCAGTGAGAGCCCCTGTCTCAATAAACAAGGTGGATGGTGCCCAAGGAATAACACCCAAGGTTGGTCTCTGGCCTCCAACCCTCCTGGCAACCTAGGACAAGGTATTATTTGTTCAGTTTCATAGATGAGGAAGCTCAGAATCCTAGAGACTATGGATTATCTTGTTGGCCAAGGTCACACAGCTAAGCAGGTGGCAGATCCAGGCTGAGAAGCCTCAGCAACTGACTGAAAGACACAGTGTCCCTCAGTCACCCATCTTCTGAGAAGGCACGTGTGAAACCCTGAGGAATTCCCAGAACATCACATCAAGAAGATGGAAAACTGGTCCACACATGTGCCTCGTAGAGAAGTCTGGACGATGTTGGAATGATCTTTCCTTTCAGAGCATGGGAAGAAAAGCCAACAATGTAAATAACTCATCTTCAGGACTACAGAGGGTCAGTGGACAGTCCTGCCCCTCTCTTGTGGGGCTTGTTCCCGATGAGCAGGTGATGTACACCACCAGCCAGTTCTGGAGGGAATAAACACTCACGATGGTCATTAGCAAGCTACAAATGCTTGCTCTTGGGTAAGTGTCAAACAAAAAGTGACAACTTTCTGATTAAACTCAAACCCCAATGAGCCATGGCTTCTGGCAGGTCTGCAGTATCAACAGCACCAAACCCTGCTGATCCTCAGCTGTCAGACCATCAAGCTCAGCTGGGCAGAGATACTGAGCCCTCACTATCCCCTCCCTCCCTGATTTTTATTAACATTATAGCTCCCAGGACCACTGTCTGTTGGCACTGTCCTATTTGAGGGATGGTGGACCCAGGGCCTCACAGGTAGAAAATGCATTCCCCAGCTTTGCTTGCAAGAAGTGCCCACAGGCCAGTGTAATGGTCAGTCTGTCAACTTGACAGGATCTAGAACTCCCTAGGAGACAAACCTGTGGGCATGTCTCTGAGGGAGTTCCTAGATTGGGTTAATTGGCATGGGAAGACCCACCCTAACTGTGGGCAGCACCATCCTATGAGCTGGGTTCATGAAATTCCCCACCATGATGGGCTGTACCCTCAAACTGGGAACAAAAATAAATCCTCCCTTCCTTAAGTTGCTTTTTGTTAGGTATCTTGTCACAGCAACAAGTGATAAACACTTCTAGTTGTCAGAAAGCAGGCCGTGCTCCTGCCCCCTGCCCAGCTGCAGAGGCTAGCCACCTTTAGCCATC